GTTTTGTCTCTTCACACAGGTAGAAATGGAAGAAACAGTCTTGTGACTCCCAAGAAAGCCCTCTTTCCAAAAGCTAAGATTCAAGAAAGCCAAGTCAAGAGATTAGATGCCTGGTCCCTGGTCATGATGCTGTCTAGATGTTAGGGGTCCTGGAACCCCAAAATCACGATACCCAGGTCCTGCCCGAAAGAATTCGACCCAAGCCTTCTTGCAGCCAAAAACAAAGTTTATTGAAGATTCGCCACATTAGCTAGACTCTTAAGGAGTCTGAGCATCTATGGGCTATTGGCTAGATTCTAAGAATCAGAGCATCTTAATGGAGACAAGACGGACCTTATATACAGAAAGACTGTGGGAGGGATGTAGGAGTGGCCAAGTAGTTTGGGGTGAGGGGAGGAAGGGCCTAAGGAGATCTGGATGGGAGTGGCTAGTAAGCTGGGGTGAACAGAACTCCTGGGACCTGGACCTCCTGGCCAAGGGAGAATGCAGTCTAGCTAGGATTAAGGGTGGGAAATGGCAGGGGGCCATAGGGAGGTAAGACAATGGAGGGGAGATTGGGTGTAGCCACAATGACAGACCAGTTGATGGGACTATAGCCTCAGGGGAACGCCAGAGATTTGGCCATGTGGGAAAGTCCAGGGTTTTTCCTTTCTGGGGTCCAGATCCCAACCCCATCAGTCAGAGAGTGAGTACCATGAAGTCAGCCTAAGAGTCTTCGCCTTCTCCTCAGACTACCAGTCTGTACTGCTTCTGTACCCCTGAAGAGTAGCCAGTTTCTCTAGGTGTTGTTTTTCCCTTTTTTAAGCTTCTAACATTTCAGTGGGATAGAATGGAAATATTTCCAGTCATCCCCTCATAGAATCCCTTTACTCTACTCCTCCTCTGCTTAGAGGTAATCTTCCAAACATCTTCCCAAGCCTAATAGAAATTTTAGGACTGCTCCTTGTTGGTCAGCAGTGTGAATAATTTAGATCTAGCTACTTCTAAGTATGACCTAAAGACTGTCTCTTTGAAACTTTTGGTTTCTGATAGTCAAGTCTTCCTGTTTTTTTTTTTCAGTGAATGAAGAGTGGCTGGAGGGCCATTGCTCAGGTCACATTGGCATTTTCCCCAAATGTTTTGCTCAGTTGGCCAATGTGGCCAAAGAATAGACTCCAGTGGAGCCATCCATGACTTATAGCTTCTGAAACACTTCCCAGGAGAACCCAGGACCAGGGAGTGAGTGCACAAGGACCAGGCTCCTTGTCATCACTGGAGTTCCCATTCCCACTGCCAGAGTGTCCCCAGGAGTCCCATCTACATGAAGATTCCCCAACCAAAAGATTCCCACTTGCTTTTTTTTTTTTAATTTCTGCACTTGAAGTTTTAATAACTCAAAACTCCACCAAGACACTTGGGACACCTGCATATGCAACCACAACAATATTAACAACCCATTATGTGCCTCAGTGAAAAGAATGGACAATGATACAGTGAAAAGATTGGCAAGAGACTTCCTAGGACATGTTTTGTTTATGAACAATCAGCCTGATATTTTACTCTAGCATCCTATGAGAAGGAAAGGAATTGATTGGACCTGTGATTTCATTGGCATAGGGGATTCTCAGGTGAGAAAACTCCCTCTGTTAATGCAAATGTTTGTAATTTATGGTGTTAGAAAGTTCCCTAGAGCACTGAGAGTTTGAGTGAGTTGGCCAGGGTCATCACACATCAGTTTGTCCCGCTTACTTTAGAAGACCCAGGCATCTAGCTCCTTGGAGAGAATCACTTCCTAGAACATCAGCTTCCTGACTAATAGGATCATAGGATTTCCCATAGGAACTGGGAAAAGGGACCTGAGAGATCACTGAATCCAACCTCTCCATTTTATAGAGGGAGAAAATGAGGCTCAGAGAAGTAACTTGTTGATGGTCACAAGGCTAAGAAATAGCAGAACAGGGATCTGAACGCACTCTGAACACAGTGCGTTTTCCACTGTGTCCAATATTCATTGAGGTAGAAAGAAGCTAGAGGGCAGCAAGATCATTCCTGATGACCAGCCTTAGAGCCAGAATTCCAGACACCTAACCCATTGCTTTAGATATGTTCTCATCCTGTCTCTTCATTTTTCAGACTGAGGTCCGGAGGGGAAGAGACTTGCCCAAGGTCAAACAGTTAGTGGCAGATCCTGGACTACGTTTCCTCATTCTCCAAAAGGAGAAAATACCTTACGAAAGATATTATTACAACTGTTAACTATCATCGGGAAAGAAAATCTAGCTCAGTACCCAGTTCAGGTCTAGAGTTAATGAAATAGCAACACTTTTGTGGTATTAAAAAAAGGAGGGGAGGGGCAGCTAAGTGGCGCAGTGGATAGAGCAGCGGCCCTGAAATCAGGAGGACCTGAGTTCAAATCAAGCCTGAGACCAAACACTTGACACTTACTAGCTGTGTGACCCTGGGCAAGTCACTTAACCCCGATTGCCTAAAAAAAAAAAGAGGGGGGGAACAAAATAGATACCCATTGATTCAGGGAATGGCTAAGCAATTTGTGGTAAATAAATTTAGTGGAATATTCCTACGCTGTACGAAGTTATGAATATGAAGAATTCAGAAAACATGTAACAAGGGGAAATGGATCTGTGAATCTTCTCTTGGCCCTAAAGGGATTCACCTGTGTTCTGAGTCAGGGCTAAAGGATTTACACTTTGGGGTGACAGCAGACCTTTCTTAGTCCCTGTGATTGGGGGCTTTGTTAAAGAGGATTGGCAACTGAACCAGGGAGAGCCCCCCACTCAGGTTGTAAGAACAAAGAAAAGACATCCAGCATCTTTAGGCCCTGCCTAGTTTAGAACATAGATCTCCCTTGGGCTTCTGGCAATTGGAAGAGGGGACTAGGGAAGTAATTTCCATCTCCTCCCCCAGCCCTTAACAGCCATAGCAGCTAGAGGCACAAGACAGAACAACATGTACTTGCTTAGGTGAAGCAGAGACAGAACTTTAAGGTCTTACCTATATCTCTTCTGTTTTGAATTTTTTTTTGTAAGCACAGATAACCAAACAGAGGTCCTAAGAGGCAAGCATCTCCCCTTCTTAGGGTCTACTTCTTAAATTTGAGAGATTAGGAGTCATTGAGTTAATTCTGGTTGCCCAGGAGATGACCATCCTTTTGTGAGGGGAAGGGCACTAATACAGGGATTCAGCAGCCAAAGGACTAAAGCCAGAGCCCTTCCTAGATAGACTGGAGATTAAACAGTGTAGCCTCCCACAAAGTACCTTTACCTTTGGGGAAAGTATAATATATAATGGATTATATTGTTTATGTTTTAGGTATTTGTTAACATACACTTATGGATCTTTTGTGTGTTAAGTATTCCTTTTGTAGTGGGGAAAAAGTAGCTGTCCTATACCTGATAAATGTTTTGTATATTGAATACTTTTACTAGAAGGAATGATGTTAATCACTTTTAGGGTAGATGCTAGACATGAGCTTTACCTAAGCTTTATTGTAGAAATTTTCTTTAGGTCTTCAGGGTGGGTATATAACAAGCAAGAGAAAATGTGAATGTGGGGCAGCTAGGTGGCACAGTGGATAGAGCACCAGCCCTGGAGTCAGGAGCACCTGAGTTCAAATGTGGCCTCAGACACTTGCTACTTACTAGATGTGTGAACCTGGGCAAGTCACTTAACCCAGATTGCCTTGCCAAAAAAAAAAAAAAGAAAAATGTGAATCCCTGGAGCTAGGGTATATGCTCAGCTCCAATGCCTGTTAGAGAAGCATGGGAAGAATTATATGAATACATGCAGAGTGATATAATAAGAACCAAGAAAACAATATACACAATGACCACAACAATGTAAATGAAAAGAAAGAGAAAAGAAACAACTGTATAATTATAACCAAGCTTAACCCCAGTGGAGAGAGGAGAAAATGCATTTCTCTTCTTTGCAAAGGTGGCAAACTATAAGTATGGAACAGTGCATTGCCTGTCACATAGTGGGCACTATAGGAGTGCTTATTCCTTTCCCTTCCCCCTTTTGGCTGATGTTAATCTCCTCAAGCAAACTTTTTTTCTCTTTTTATCCTTTGTTACAAAGGGATGGCTTCCTAAGAAAGGACCTTTAGTCCCTGGCTACTTTTCTGTTTTCTATTTGTTTCTTGGGCACAGATGAGGAGAGGAATAAATTCAGAAGTGAAGTTAGTACACAAAAAAGTTATAAGAAAATGTTTAAATTAACAGAATCCTAGAAGTACTTTTCATAGTAACAAAAAAAAAATAGAAACAAAGTGGGTGATCGTCAATTGAGAAATGACTGAATAATTGTGGTATATTAATATCATTATACTTTTAAGGAATGAATATAAGAAATTCAGAAAAACACAAGGAGACTTACATGAATTGATGTAAAGCCAAGCAAGCAGAATACACAGTAACTATAATAATTTAAATGAATATGACACTAAAAGGCAGCTAAATTCAGATTAATTGCAATATTGACCAGCATTGTTCCCTAGAAACCAGGTGATGAAATATTTGTCCCTTTTTTAAATATAGAGATAAGAGGCTTTGTGAACATGGTGTTGCATATTTTGTCAGATACAATCTTTTTGTCTGTCATTTTTACCTAGCTGTTTTTCTTTATTACTCAGAAGTAAAATTAACGAAAGATGCCTGCCCCTCCAAGCTGTCATCCTGCAGCATTTTGTTCTGTGAAATTATTTTTATATTTATCTTGTATGTGGTTTGGATCCACCTATCTGTGTTCATTCCCTAACCTACCCAAAAAGAGAATGTAAGTCTTGTGGGTGAGGGGTTTTTATGCTGTGGGGGCTTTTTGCCTGTATTTCTATTCCCAGTGCTTAGTACAGTAAAGTAAATCCTTAATAACATCTTGTTGGAATGAATTATTCCTCTCTCACCCAGTCTCAAATGTCAGTCTTTGGGAAGAAGGGGGCGTCACTGGAGAGTTGTGTGATAGAACAAAAGCCTACCAACACAAACTGAAAGAAACTTCTGAGGTCTAGAAACCAACAAATGGAATTTTAATAAAAGTAACAGCACGTTTCCCAAAACTTTGAGCCATCCAAAGAAACGGAGGTGGGGGGTGGGCGCATCCCTGGGATACCCATCAGGGTTAGAGGCTTAGGCTTTGGACCATAGGTGAGATCTGTGTCCTGGGACAGCAGCCAGAATGAAGCGGCTCAGATTTGAAGGTTTGAGGGATCAGCAGGGTCCCTAAGTCAGTCAACAAGCATTTACTAAGCACCCACTCTGTGCCAGGCACTGTATTGAGTACAACGTACAACTATGTAGAATGGCTGCTAGAGTCAAGAGGCTGGGATCTGAGGACGTGGGGCAGGGCGAACTGAGCGGGAAGGAGAATGAGCAAGTTCTATAGGACAAGATCAACCAGATCAGGATGGGGGAGAGGACCAAGTACAAAAATCCTTGGCAAGGAACTCTTTGGCTAGGACTGCTCCAGGGTGAGAGCGAAGCCAGAGTTGAACCCTGGCGTGTGGCTACTATTGAGAAGTCGTTCCTCCTGCTTCTCTTTGGTGGCTGGAGCCCCCCTTTGATAAAAGCACAAGTGCATATTCCAGGGATGCTTCGCTATCATCCTTGGGCCGTCCCCAAATTCCCTTCTGGAACATCAGAGCTCCCTCAATCATTCTGTCATTTTCCACATAATTACAGGACTGGAAGAGATCTCAATAATCAATCATCTAGTCCAACCTCATTTAATAGATGAAAAAACTGAGGCTGCAAAAGAGGAAATGACTTACCCTGGTCATGCAATTGGCTGATTGCAGAAGCGGCACTAGGACTTAGGCCTCCTGAACCTGCAATCAAGTTCTTTGTTCATGATAGCTTGCTGTTTCTCCTCATCCCAGGTCTCTCCCTCCCAACAATCACACTTCCATACCCCAACTTCAGCCCCTAGACTTCCATGCTTTCCCTCAACTCATACCCAAATACTATCACTCCAAGCCCAGTCCCTTCCAGAGAGATGGCTGAGGCCTAGAGTTACCCACAGAAAACATACATATAACACAATGGTCAGGATGCCTAAAAAGCCTCAAAAGCCTGTCAGAGACAGAAGTTCCGTGCCATACTCTTTGAGGTCCCTAGGCTGGGATGGAGTGGGTTCCCCCAGGAGTTAAATGAACCAGTCTTCAGTTTATCAGAAGCTCAGAATCAAGCTCTTCTTGCTCCACCCCGAGGATGCTCATCACAGTGACTTAAGTCTGAGGCCTAGTCAGGACTCCAAAAACAGTAGGTGACGCCAGTCCCGATGCTCATTACGATGGCCAGGACAAGAAAGAAGACACCAGCAACCCAGACACTATGACTTTCTGCCCGCTGAAGGACCAGTGCCTCACTCGGGATCATGTTGGTCACATTCAGCATGTAGCCCAGGGTCCAGCCAATGTCTGTGCCTGCAACCTGGAAGAGACACAGAAAGGGGCTTGCTCAAGGCTGTCCTGCAGCAAGCACACAAGATGCACCCTTAGTCAAGGTGGTTAACTGAGGCTATACACAGCCTGATTCAGTGGCACTGGTGAGCAGATGAAATTTATTCAGAGGTCGGGTAATCTGTGCCACTGTTTGATACCTGTCCCCAAGTTGGACCTACACCAATGGAATTCCTGCAGGTAATGGATGGACACAGTGGCATGAAAAATAAATGATGCTCGTGTTTATTAAAGCCCATGAGCAGCAACCCCATGTCCAGGGGTTGGCAGTGCCCTGTGACTGCACACATCTGAAGAGAGAGCCCCATGGGGATAATAACAGCCCCACCTTGCCCACTTGTGAGGATCCAATAAGGTAGTATTTGTAAAGTGCTTAGCACAGTGCCTGGCACAAAGTAGGCATCATAGAAATGCTTATTCCTTTCCCTTCCCTGCTTCCCTAAAGGGAAAGGGAGCAGGGGGTAGATGACAACAAGGAGATACAGCCTTTTCCTGGAAAGGGGAATGGGTAGGCTGAGGAGTAGGAGCCCTCACCTCTTTGGTAAAGTGGATGTTGCTCCAGGTTCCATCATCAAACTTGTAACCATTGGTCAGGAGGATGAGGATATGGATGGCATTAGTACAGTAGCTGTGTAGCCATTGTTTCTCCTCAGGGTAGCTGGCCTCCACCTGTAGGCCCCATGGTTAGGGGTAGGAGAAAACACCAGGTTCCAAGGCTTCCCTCTCATCACGACCACCCACAACCAGAGGGGCTAGATGTGGCATGAGGAGCAGGGAAGGGGAAAGAGAGCTCCAAGGAACTGAAGCTACTATTGAGAAAGGAAAGCAGGTGGACACCTGGGAGTCCTCTTAACCTTGGAGCTTCCAGCCCTTCCTGGGGGCCTTTTCTCTCATCACATCCATACTGACTCAAGCGAAAAAGAATGTCAAAAGGGACTTTAGTGGCCTTCAAGGTTCCAGAGAAAGAGCTTCAGGTGGGGCAGCTAGGTGGTACAGTGAATAGAGCTCTGGCCTTGGAGTCAGGAAGACCTGAGTTCAAATCCAGCCTCAGACACTTAACATTTACTAACTGTGTGACCCTGGGCGAGTCATTTAACCCCAATTGCCTAAGCAAAAAAAAAAAAAAAAAGGAAAGAAAGAGCCTCAGATCAGTTGAATTAAACTGCTTCTGGGGAATGATAAAGAAAAGAGAATAGAAAAATGAGAGACTGAGGTCAGGTATAAAAAGCCTCAACTGTTAAGACTGAAAGATTCAATAGGGATTAGCAAAGGATAGCCCTGTTGTGGACATAAGGAAGAAAAGGAGAGATGAATGGCAGCTTGGATGAGTTAGGTGCAGGCCTGCTGATGCCAAGGGGGATTGGACCAAGGCAAGGGTGGGGAACCTGCAGCTTCAAGGCCACATGTGGCCTTCTAGGTCCTTTGGTCAGCCTTTTGACTGAGACCAAATTTTGCAGAACAAATCCTTTTCTTAAGGGGATTTGTTCTATGAAGTTTGGAATTAGTCAAAAGGCTGCACTTGAGAACCTAGAACCACAGGTTCCCTACTCTTGGACTAGGTAGACTCCTTACAGAGCCAATGATGCTATGAAATTGGCTTTCAAGTCCTAGTCCTAGATATGGATTATGATCTATAGAGGCCTGACCATCTTCAAACAATATTCCCTACTGTGTTCAAAGCACTAGGTCAGTTTTCTGGGGAATAGAAGAATAAGGCACAGCCCCTGCCCTCATCAACCTTATGGTATGGTAGAAGAAAGAAGACAGGAATACAGCTAATTCCAATGCACAGCAGAACGTGCTAAGTACATAACAAAGGCACCAATATATGTAAGTCATAGTGCGAGATAGTTAAAAGAACCGGGGAGCAAATGAGATCTCAGTAGTAATTACTGCCCTGCCCCTAACTAGCTACGTGACCTTGGGTTGAATCACTCAATCTAAGTTTCAACACTTAGAAAAGATTTCTCAAATCTCTTCCAACTTTCTATGATAATGGTTCAGTGTGCATTCTGCTCCCAAAGAAAGGTCAGGTACCAAAAGACACACTTTGTGAATTTGCCTAAAGGGGTTGCAAGTAGCAGGTCTCACCTGTTTCCAGGGCTTTTGGCAGAATTCCCAAATGGTTGTATTCACAGTGTGCAACGACTGGCCGCCTGTGAGGTTCAAGAAGTGGAAAGTGTAATAGAATCCAGAAAATGCCTGGGAGGAAAAAAATATTTTTCAAAACCCTCTTGCTTCTTCCATCCTACCTGTACAAAGTAGACTCCAGGGTCCTGGATGGCCTGAGCCAGAGATTAGGGGATTCTCAAATCCTGGGTCTGGGAACCCACAGTGAGGCCCTGGATTAGACAAACTCAAAATCTCTCTCCATTATCCTCAATCCTAGTAATTATTGACCTTTCATCCTTGCTTCTTCTTTCCAAGAAAAGTTGCTTCAAGCAATCCTTCAGTATGTGAAGGGTTTGTTAAATGGTTAAGAGAAAGCTGAGGTGGTTGGCCTCACCACAGAAGTAGGAAGAGAACTAGAAAGCACCAACAGCGTCCAGCATACAGAGGGAGTCTCTTTCGTGAACCAAAAACATTGTGATCCAAACACTTCCAAGAGTCACTCTTTTTATAAACTTAGGGCAGGTTCCCCACCCCCGAATTTAGGACTTCTTCAAACACAGGATTATAGATTTAGAGCTGGAAGGATCCTTAGAGGTCAGCTAGTCTAACCCCCCACCAAGGTCACACAGGTGGTAAGTAGCAGAGCTGAAAGTACTTAATGAAAATGGTAGGGTCGAGAGAAGGATCCAACCTAGCTATCTCCAAGAAGGAAAATCCTCTCTTCCTGAATTTCACTTCTTTATAGATCCTTTGCAAACACCATCAAATTCTCCAAGCGAATGGCCCTGGCTCTAAGCTGGTGAAGACTAGAAGCTTCCTTTCCCTCCCTACAGAATGTTTGTTGTCTTCCTTCCCTCCTTCTCTTTCTTTCTTTCTTTCCTTTCTTTCTCTCTTTTTCTTCCTGTATTTCTTCCTTCCTTCCTTTTCTTTCTTTATTCCTCTTCCTTCCTTTTTTCTTTTCCTTCCATCTTCATTCCTTTCTTCCCCCTTTTCTTCTCTCCTCCTCATCTCTTTCTCTGTCTCTATCTCCCTCCCTCTCTCTGTTTTCCTTTGCTTGTGCCATGAGGAAATTTGGGGTGGAAGTTGTGGGGAGGGTAAAACTTTGAGAAGGAAAGGAAGGGAGAATCTTACATAGAACTGGCCATGCTTCTGAGGCTGGTAGATGCCATCAAAGGTACAGTCTTCCTGGCCCTGACAGGCAGAGAAGTTGAAGAGACTATAGACAGCAGCATAACAAGCTTCTGGGTTTCCTAAGCCCTCCACCCTGAGGATCTGTGCAGTATGAGAGTACTGGGAGTTCTGGATACAAGGCGTGTTATATAGGTCAGCCAGAGACAGTGTATCCTCATATCCACTATGGTAGCATGGGTTCCGGACCACTTCAGAAGGGTTGGTCTGGGGAGAAGGCAGTCATTAGTCCCACTCCAGATAATTCATCACCTTAACACCTAGATCCCATCTTGATATAACTTTGATACTCATCTCTGCTCTCCACTGAAATCTAAAGATGAAAATAGAGGTCCCCCTTCCCTTAAAATTTGTCCCTTCTCTGCTTAATGATGCCTGAAATTTTGACGCCACCCCAGTTTCTGAAACTCTCCCTGTGTCCCACACTCCATCCTCTCTTCCTGACTCCTTTCATCTCCCATCCTCATACACACCTGCACCAAAAGTGCCAGGAGCCGTTTCTGCAACTGGTTCTGTCCATAGCACAGGTAGCTATGTGAGTAGACATTGTAGTCATGCCCATAGAGGCGGAAGGTGTCCTTGGTGCTTAGGTCAACAATAGGGCCAGGTGGAAGGAAGGAGATCTGTGCTGAAGCTCCACCTAGGTCTAGGGCTCCCACCATCTCAGCCATAGGGGGTTGGATCCACTCCCCTGAGAAGGTGTACTGACCCCCCAAACAGCAGTCATTCAGACCCGTGTACACCAGTGACTCAGATCTCCCAGTCACTTGTGGCTCTGGGCCCCTAGAATCCTCCCCTCCCAATCTCCCAAGGCACCTTCACCAGGGTCTCCAGCACGTAGTTAATGGTGATCCAGCCAAAGGAGCCTTCATCATTCCCTGTCAGAATTTGGGCTCCCTGGAAATTGACAGGGAACTGGCTCAGGACCTCGGTGATTTCTTCAAAGATCCAATCTGCCTGGGAACTATTCTTCAATCTGAAAGTAGTGTGGGGGGTTGGAAGTGAAGTCCTGGATGACTGCAGACCCCTTCCACAGAAAGATTTGTCTTGTGATCTAATAATCCCCATTTCTGTAACACTTTAAGAGTTTAAAGTGTTTTCCTCACAACAATCCTGTCAGGTTAGGGAGTGCTAACGATGAACCTGAGTTGGGATCCTACCTCTGATACTGACTAGCTATATATTCCTGGGCAAATCCCTTAATTTCTCTGAGCCTTCATATCTTGATCTGTAAACCGAAGATAACAATTACCCCTTCTTCACAAGGTTGTGGTGAGAATCACATGATGTACCATAAGGGAAGTGCTTTGAAAACCCAATATGAATGTCAGCTATTATCATTCCCATTTTACAGATCAGAGTGGGAAACTGACTTGCCCAAGGTCATACAACTAACTAATAAGTGTCAGAGTTGGGATTCAAACCCAGGTGTCTCTTGCCTTCCCATTCTTACTCTTACAGGCTAAGGCTAATCAATCAGCTGCTCACACTTACTGAATACTCAATTTGAGGTGAGTGAACTGCTATGGCTTCAGTTGTCCCCTTACACAGCCACTCAGCTATCAGGGGCACACCAGGGAAATAGAGGTACAGAGAGGGGGCCACGAAGGAATTCAATACAGAATTGGGACAAGGTCCAGAGGAAACAGGAGAGAGCTTCCATGTTCCTTCTGCCTTCACCCAGGGGTGAGCCAAGAGTTGAAGAGGCTGACATCTTCCATTCATCATCCATCCTAGGCTCTCTTGAGATTCCCATGCACCCCAGTTCCTGATCTCAAATTCAGCCACTTTTGCTCTGCTTTGAGGAGTAGGAGGAAAGGGACTTTTACCCTCTTTACCTACCCTTATGAGATACCCTTCCATAAGTTGAGAGAACCATACTTCTTAACTCTCCCCAGCCTCACCAATAGGTAGATTCTCCCACCCTGCTTCCCACTAACACCCACGCAGAATCCCCATCAACCTCAGAAGCCTCATTCCTGCTGTAGCCCCAAGAAAAGTAGGAGTCTCCTGATGCTTGTCTCCTGGAATCAGGGCCAGCGCCTTCTCCATACAAGCCTTCAGGCTCTCCCCAGCCTTCGCTGGGTCATTGGCGTAATGAGAAATCCCAGGCCCTGAAAAATAACAACCCTAGATATTAGGATCTTTACTAGAATTTAACCCTTTATTCCTGCTTTCTGAAAGGGTGATGGTGGACCTCTGCATGTGTTGGCTTTAGAGTTTGAAGTGAGAAGGAAAGATATCCCTGGAGAGCAGACATAGATCACAGGACAAAACAGAGAGTGTGAGATGGAGACTGAGATACAAGGGCAAAAATATGCAGAAAGAAACTGAAATAGAGAGAGATAGAGGGAAAGTGTATGCGAGAGACAGAGACAATGATAGAGAGGAGAGAGATGGGGGAGGAGGGAGGGAAGGAAGGAGAGAGACAGAGACAGAGTGAGAAACAGAGACATAGGAATAGGGGAATTCAGAGAGAAAATAAGACAGAAATACAGAGAGAAACTTATAAAAAGAGATAGAGAGAGGGTATACAGAAAGACAGGTAGGGAGAAACAGAGACAGGCAGAGATAAGGAGAGAAACAGTAACACATCTACATCATGTTTCAGAACACTTTCCACACAATGCCATAGCATGGTATTATTAGCCCCATTTTACAGTTGAGTCTAAGAGAAACTAATCGGCTTGACTATGACCTAGCTAGTAAGGATCTGAGATCTAATTTGGAGCCAAGTTCAGGACTCTTTCCACACTACATCATACTTTCTCACCAAAAAGAGGTAGCTAAGTGGTACAGTGGATAGAGTGCTGGTTCCTGAGTCGGGAAGACCTGAGTTCAAATCTGGCCTCAGACACTTACTAGCTGTGTGACCCTGGGAGAGTCATTTTAGCCTCTGTCTGCCTCAGTTTCTTCATCTGTGAAAGAGGAAAGGTAATAAGCAATTACATAGCACCTACTATGTGCCAAGCACTGTGCTAAGTGCTTCACACTTATTTTCTCTTTTGATCCTCACAACAATCCTACTGCTTTTAATAGCACTTGCCTCACAGAGTTCTTCAAGAATAAAATGAGATGATAATTCCAAGCCTTAAAGTGCTATATAAATGCTAGCGTGTGTGTGTGTGTGTGTGTGTGTGTGTGTGTGTGTGTGTGTGTGTG